AGGAAAAAAAACGTTGAAGATTGAAATCTCCTGTTTGGGGCAAAAGATTTTGAAAGCAGCTTGGTGAGGTTATTACAGGAGTAATTTTATACTAAAAGCTCCTGCTCATTCAATGCAGTGACAGCAGAGATTTCCAAGCAACAGAGGAACGGGCACTGTGTTAAAAACCCCAAAAACACCCCAAAGAGAGACACGGCTCATGGTGCAGCACTGACCACACCAGGAGGATCCCTGGGGAACCAACACTGCATCTCCCTTCCCTCCAAACCCTGAGGCTGCAATTTTAAATTGTGATTTGATTCTGATTGTGATGGTCCAGTTCAGCACCTCGGGCTGGCCCTGAGTGAGCAGCAAAATCAGACAAAATCAGACACATCAGAGCAGGTCGAGGCCAAAGGGCCAACCCTGCTGACAGGGGGGCTGAGGAGCCCAGGGAGGAGCCTCGGGCTGGGCTGGGCTGGGCTGGGTGAGCCCTGCAGGGCTCGGGGGTTTCTCTGCGTGCTCAGCTGAGCTAAAAAGAGCCTTTCAGAAGCCTCTGCAGCACCAGCCCAGAGTCCTCACCAAAAAGGCAACTTCATCTGAGTGCTGAGCTATAAAAGCCGAAGGTAACTACCTTGGCCAACCACCAATTTCCTGAGCGGGTCAGCACAGAGCTCCTTCCTCCCGGGCTAGAAATGACTCATGTGGAGCCCCAGGGCCCAGCAGATCCTCTGATTGTGAAGCCTTTGCACCAAATTAATTCCCATTCCTTCAGGTCGGGCAGGGGGACTCCACAACCATCAGAAGCAACTCGGTGGAACAGTCAGAGGGGGAGAAAAGGCTCCCCCAGCACCCCCAAGGGCCGAGGGAGGGGCAGCACTTGCCTGGATGTGCATTTTGATGACGGCTTTGCCAATCAGGGTGGCCCCAAAGAAGGTCCAGAAGGGAACGAGGAAGTGGCCGCACGTTATCCCGGCCAGGTCGAACAGGGGGTTCGGGATCTGCGGAGGGAAAGGGGAGAGTTCAGGGATTCAGCACACACTGGGGTGAGCAGGGGCACCACAGGCTCTGAAAGCCTGAGGAATGAGCAGTTTGCCCTTCTCCAGCTCGGCCCAAAGCTCCTGGGGCTGCAGAGCTACAGAAATGCTGCTGTCACACCACATCACTCTGGGATTCAGCTCCACCACCTCCCAGACAATCCCATTCTCAGGGTCCCTCCTTACCCCTGCGTCCTGACAAAAGCCAGCAGAAAGTTTTCCATGTGAAAAGCACAGAAACCACAGCAAAGCCCTTTCGAGTGATTTATCAGATTTTCTCCCTGACAGGCACATCACTCTTGGAAGCCAGTGCTCCAACTGATCCCCAGTGATTTCCAGCTGAGAAACTACCCTAAAAACTGGCATTTATAGTCATGTGTATCCAGTTTAAAAGCACTGATTAGATTTTATGAAGCATATGCATTTCATTTAAAATTAAAGGCATTTTTTATTATCATTAAACTGTTGGCTTGACTTTTGGTACTGTGATCCTATCTGCGAAATATTTTTGAAATGAAACCAAGAAAGTCTCCAAATTCCAACCTTTCAGCCTGCAGTGAAGGGACAGTGTCTGAGGAGAGGGTGTGAGCACAGGAGCAACGTGGTACTGGGGTAACAAACTGCAGGCCTGGGGGTGTTTTGTTCCATAAATAATGGATTAAAGGGTGAGGATTGGTGAAGGATAAAGGATATCAACGCTGCCAGGGCTGACTGGGCACCTGCAGCGTGGGGGGAAGCCGAGCAGGGCTGGACTGGGCTGTTCCAGCCCAGCAATTCAGATTTATGAGCACCCCCAGCAGCACCTGCAGAGGGAGAAACCTGAAACGGGCTCTGATTGTGCCCTGGACGGGCTCCACCCCAAGAACCTGCCCTGGGGCAGCTGCTCTGGGCAGGGAGCTGGTGAATTAGTGCCCCCCCCAGCTCCAGGGTGTTCGGGGTCGGGTGCTTGGAGGGGTTTGGGGGGGTTCACCGAAGGTTTCAGTGCTCTGGGCAGGGGCTGTGGGGTCAGCCCTGCACTCAACAGACACCCAGAAGGTCCCCAAGGACCCCACAGGGTGTCCCTGGGCTGGGCTTAGAAAACACACGCAGACAGAGAGAGCTGCAAGCTGCCAAAAAACCCCGCAAAGCCAGGAGGGCGAATTCTCCCAAGTCACAGGGAGGGTCTTCGGGGCTGATTCTTGCTTTGTTCCTTCCCCAGAGCTGCCTTTCCACAGACACAGGTCCAGGACAATCCTGGGGCTCCTTCACTGCCACCCAACACCACTGCAGTCACTCGACCTGGCTGGGTGAACTCACAGAGTTCTGATTTCAGTTTGATGGGGCTTTTCTGCAGCATTTTGAAGCCACCGCTGGACAGACAACAACCCACAGCTGGGACAGGATCCCTGCTTTGGGAAAAGTCCTCCAACCACAAAAAACACGTCCCAGAAAACCCTGCCTAAAATCCTCGAGGAAGGTGCCAGCTGTAAGGGAAGGAGACACCTTCCAGCACACACAGGAGCAGCAAGAGAAGCTCGTGGGGGGCTGCCTTTCTCTGCCTTTCTCTGCCCTCCCCTCCTTCAGGTGCCACACAAACACACAGCTCTGCATCCCTGTTTTTCCCAGCTCTGCATCCCTGTTTTTCCCAGCTCTGCATCCCTGTTTTTCCCCAGCCTCTCCCTTTTCACAGCTGCTCAGTAAACACATCAACGAATCCTCAAGTGTATCCCGGGGCAGGAGCAGGGAAGGAGTTCAGCAAATGTTTAGGAATTACTCAGCAGGAACTACCAAGTGTTCACCAGCTCCTTCCTCAGGTTCTCCATTTATCCCCACTCCTTGTGCTGGGACAGGGATGTCCCCCGGGTCACAGGGATGTCCCCCGGGTCACAGTGAGTCAGAGGAGGGAAGGGAAGGAGCAGCCTGAGGGCTGGGAAGATTTAGGATCAGTCTGTAACCTGCAGCCAGTTGAAAAGCTCAGGGAACAGCAGCTCCTTGCAGCAACTCCCAAGCCCAGGAATTCTCTCCAGCTCACGTTTGAGTAACACTTGGTGGTGTCATCTCCACAGTTCAGGGAATGAGGAGGTGCTGGATAAGTGTGGGATGAACACCTCACCCCAAGGCTGTGCTTATCCCACAGGAATGGGGCCACGGGGGACCTGCACTGCCTTCCCTGTGATCACATCCCACCGTTTTTGCGGGATGAGCAAAGCACACCATTCCTACCAGTTTGCATCAAGATTCCAGAGAGACACTTCAGCCTCAAATTCCATACTTTTCTACTCCCAAAGAACAGCATTATCCTCCTGCAAACACTGAAACCCCCTCCCTGGGGGTGCTCCCCTCACCTGCTGCTGGGAGGGAAAACAATCCACCGGCAGTTTGTGGCTCGAGAGCCAGGACTGACCTTTCCCTCCTGCTTCCCAGGGACCCACAGAGCAGCTTTAGGATCACAGGGGGTGGTTTTCCACCCTTCAATCCACGTGAGCCGCTGGATTTGAGGATGCCAAGCACTGTCACCTTGAACACAAACACCTAAAGAAACCCTGACGGGGCTCCAGCAGATTCCCAAGACAGGTCTCAGCATCCAGTGCAGGGGGAATTCCTGGCCTGGAGGCTTCTGGAATTTTAGGAATGTCTTGTCAGTTTTCCTCACTTGGACAAACCTTTGGCACCCTCAGTGAGCTGCCCTGTTCTTCCAGGTTTCCCCACTCCAGGCTGAACCAGAGGATTAACTGATTCATCTTTTTTCAATGATAAAGCACCGGTGCTGCACCTTTGGGGTCTGATGGGTTAAGGAGGAGACACAACCATCCCAACCTCATCCCCTCCCAAGGAGAACCAGCCCAGGGGTGCAGCTGAAGGAAGGGATAATAAATCAGCTGTGTTTTCATGCAGAATTCCCTGTGTTTGGTTCTAACCCAGGACTGGGGTTTCTCCCTGCTGTTGTACCTGCCAGCCCCACGACAATCCCAGAGGGCACAGAACCAGCAAACAGCGAATTCCACGGCAAAAACATTCCAGCTGTGCCCAGAAATCCCCCTCAATCCCAGCCCAAACTCACCGAAGCACAGGCCAGGATCCCAAAGAATCCAACCTTCTGCACCAGGTTCTGCACGGCCAGCTTAGCCCGGGAAGCGAAGTCCTGCAGGGAGGAAAAACAGAGCATTCCTGAGGCAAATCCCAGATGTGTGTGTGTGGTTCCCCTGCCCTCCTTGCTTTGGGATTTTTCTCCCCAGGAATTGGGAGGAATTTCAAACCGAGAAGGCCAGGCTGGAGCCCTGGGCTGGGAGGGGAGAGGGGGATATTCCCAGTGCTCCGGGTGGGACTCTGACCACCCACATCCACTGGGGTTTGTTTCCCAGCTCCCCCCCGCCTTGCTTTGGGAACAGGTTTTCCAGGATTTATTTCCCCCTCTCCTTGAAATTCCAGCGCTGCCCGTGCCTAAGAGCAGAGGGAAGGAATTCCTTCGGTGCCATGGGCAGTGTCCAAAAGGTTCCTTCTCAAACACAATAATCCCATTATTTCTGTTCCCTCAAACCAGGATCTTCAGCAAAACCCCCCTCCCCAATTCCAGGTACTGGTTCCAGCAGATTTGTAAAATTAATTCCTTTAAAATGCAGGAAGCTGGAGCTGAGATCCATTAAAAGCAGGGAAGGTGCAGCCCCAGTAACAGGCTCAGAACGGGCTTTTATTTTGGGATCAGAACTTCCTCCCGAGGCTCAGAGTTTGGCAAATGCTCAGGAACAAAAAAAAAAACCACTCAAAAATAAAGATAAATTTTATTATAAAATTGTTACGAAATTTTAAAAAGCAAAAATAAATATTCTAACAAACAGTTTCTTTGAATGGGAGAAGTGAATTTACAAGAGGATAAAATCGTTTGGAGGCAAAACTGTCCCAAAAGTGAAAAGGAGGGTCAGGAATTCCCTGCTCAGCCCTGGCCAGGGCAGGTACAGAAAGCTGGGAATATCTTTGGGAAAAGCAAACATGAAAAAATAATTATTAATTCTGGTTTAAAATCCTACAAAGAAGCGATAAAAAGCTGATTTTTCCAGGAGCAAGAACCACACATTAACATTTTGTAGGAAACCATCAGGGAAATTACACAAGGAAATGACTTGGATCAATAATTAACGATATCCTAAATTCCACATTTTACCCCTGAATTGGAGAATTTAAAAGCTCGTTAATTACTGATGAAAGCAACGCCAGGATAATGCAGAAAGTTTAAATTTCTGCCACAGTTCTGCTGAAACCTTCAATCCTCCACAGCAGTGCAAGAAAACTACAATTATTTGAGAATGTCCTGGCATTTTATTTCAATTCTGAGCCCCAGAATTGACATAATCCTTTATGGCAGATTAAAAATAAATAAATAAATAAATCTGTGGTAAAACCATTTGCTTCTTTTTACAAGTATTAGCTTTTTTTATTAGCTTTTTTTTTTTTCCATTCTTGTGCTTTAAAACAGTCAAATTCTCAAATTAAATTAATTGAAAGGATAATTCTAGTTGTTATTCTTAATGTTTGGGAAAGTAAAACAAATCAAAGTAAATGCTTCAACTGAAATTAAAAAAAAAAAAAAAAAAAAAAAAAAAAAAAAAAAAAAAAAAAAAAAAAAAAAAAAAAAAAAAAAAAAAAAAAA